ATCTCTGAAGCAGACGACTTCTCAAAAATTGTAGACCAGTGTAACATGCTCCAGTTTATGGGCTCCCTTTTTAATGAAATCTTCAAGGTCACCTCAGCTGTCATTGATCTGAAAGGGTCCAGAGAATCAACCAGCCCAAAACTATTACAGGAAACTTGTTTACATTTCCAGGATAGGGAAAAGGTTCTTCATCTTGCCAGGGTCTACCACTTACACTCTAAACCAGTGCACATACCAAATGTAAAAGTACGGCATTTGATCCTGTTTTTAAAATCACAAAGGGAAAAAACATTATTATTTCTAGCTCTTAGAGACCTAAGTCTTTCAGACTGTAAACTCCATTTTATAGTATAAGCTGTCTGAGCCAAGGACTATCATTAATGAACTGTTTGCACAGTGCATCGCACACAGGCCTTCTCATACCCTGAAATGCTTTGGATACTTTTAAATGTTTCCTTATTTCAAAAATCAGAAGATGCCACACATTCCCTGGAATTATTGACATAACCAGAAAGAAAATCTCCAGGATCTCAAGAAGCCAGCAGGTCACAGATATAGAAGGATGATTAAAACCTTTGGAAATAAGCCAGTTTATCCTTTAATAAAATCAATAACCTAAAAGAATGAGTTAAAATAGAATAAAAACAAACAGTATAATGAATTAGCATTGGTTAAACTTAACACACAAGTATGTTCAAAGCAAAGACAAGAAAGAAATAGCTGAAATCAGTCTGGTTCACCTCTGTGTTAGTATTGTTAAAATAGGTATTAGAATTATAATAATGTGCTTAGTGTTTAGACTTTATTGAATGCTTGTAAGTTGCTGCAGGAATTAATCTCACTTAAAACATCCATATCCCATGTTGTAAGGTAATATTTGAACATTTACATTGTGAGCCTCTGTAATTGTATAAGTCAGGGGACAAGAGAGAAGTATTAACTAGTATGAAGTACTAATCTCCAATAGAAAGTGTTATGTCCCACCTGACAAAAAGGCCCATTGACACCAGATAAACTATTATGGAACATCAGAGAATAAAACATTTTGTTGATTGTTCTGCTCTATCCTGCCTTTCTATGCCCCCTTCTTCTTCCCTACTCCTCCCTGTCAATGAAGAGGAAAGGTTCAAGTGAATTCCTCCAATCAGCTAAGTTTGCACTTGAAGCAGAAGGAGGGAAGGGATAAAAACCCCTCACAAGAAGGAACTGTATCTTTATGCTGCTTGGACTCTGAGGTGAAAAGGATGAGCAAAAGATCCCCAGTGCTTAGCCTGGGTTAGCCCTACAGGACATACAGAGCTTGCTTATTATAAAAGCTTCTATTATTTTTTTGAAATTTAAGATTGGAACTTGTTTGTGTTTATATATATTTATCTCATTTAACCTTGTAAACAACTCTCTTGTTTCCTTTTCCTACATAATAAATCTTTTGATAGTTTATTATAGGATTGGCTACAAGTGTTGTCTTTGGTTTGAGATCTAAGGCACAATTGACCTGAGGTAAGTGACTGGTCCTTTGGGACTGGGAGTAACCTGAAAATCATCTATACCATAGGTAAGCTTCCCTTGGTGGAAAGACAGATCAGACTGTTTGTGACTCCATGTTAAGGCTGTTATAGTGCCTGAGGAGTTTACACTTGATAATTGGTTGTTTAAACCTAAGCATAGAACTCACAGCCAGTTTGGGGTTTGTGGCCTGGTTTCTAACACTGCACTGAGGTTAGTAGCCACTCTCTTGAGCCACAGTAGAACAGTTTGACATATGCTATTAGAATTGAAAAATCTGTACATATAACTGGAAGCAGCTTTTCTAATCACCATTGGACCTTAAAATGTCAAGCAATGCTTTCATTCTCTCAAATGCTCAGAAGGCTTTTGACCGGGTTGTGTGTTTTTTCTTAGTTCAATGTATAACAATATTTATACCCAGCCTTAATTTTCAGTGGTATATTTCTGATCTACATGACTAATGTTATAAAGTTGGAAAGAAGAATGTACCAGGCATACCCAATGTTTCCTCTATTATTTGCTTTTATAACAGGATACATCAGAAAGTGTTGTTCTAAGATGATGCCATTATGCTTTATTTAACACGGTCATGTAAATCTATGTGATCATCACAGTCCTTGGGTCCAGGTGTCCCTACACAGTCCTCACACCAAGGCCACCACCCAGCAGCTCACCTGACCCAGTTGAGAAGGGAGCCAGTGAAGCTCTATCTTGCAAAGGCCCCACCCACAAAACTCCTTACTGGGGGAGATATCCAGCTGACCAATTGTCTGGGATGCTCTATCTAAACCAGAAAGAGGCACAGATGTTGTCTGAGGAACTAGATTAATTCCTAGCTGTCTACTACTGTGGACCCTACCTACTTGCCTGAGCCCTGCCTTTCTGCTTGTTCCTGGTTCCTGTCATCTTTATCCAAGATCCCTCTCTATTCCTCCCTTCCTGACTCATTCCAGGTCCCTACACATGACTACAGCTCTGACCTTTGACTTGGCACCTGACTCTGACCCCAGCTCTGGTTCCATGTGCCTGACTCTAACCATTAGACATGAACACTCACACTCCTGCTCCTATAATCTATCATCGAGGATGTCTGCATTCTAGATTAATTTTCTATGTTTTAGGAAACAAAATTAACTACACAAAACAGAAATACTGCTGATTGGACTCTCCCAAAATAGGATACTGCATTTACAATCTTTGGGTCTTTAAGAGAAAATTAAATACCCAGGGACACCAGTTACAGATAATATTGAAGGATTATGTAAAACTAATTTAAAAACTATTACTAAATTCCTCCATAGTGAAGCAATAATCTGGAATAAATTATATATCCGTTGATTAGGGCAAAGAACTGCTGTCCATATGAATCATTTACCCAGCAATTTTTTAAATTATACTTATCATCTGTAAAAATCTCTAATACCTTCTTTCTGAATTTTGACCAGAGTTATTATTTTTATGGACCTTTAAATACCTCCAGATAAATTATTAAACTCTTTCAATTTCTTTCTGAAGAATGTTAACAGGATGATCCAATTTGAAAAGATATTGTTAGGCAGCCATTTTAAATAATGGCTGCAATGTCATTCTGGAGGCTGAAGAGAAGATTGTACACCTAAAAGGACAGTGACATCTGTCATGGATCCACAGGGTCTGGTTTATGCTCCAGCAATAACTAGTCCCTTGACAGTGACCCTTTTAATGTGCCAAACCCCAAGGGTTCACACAGTTCCTCAGGAGCAGGCCCATGGCCTCCAAAATGCTGAGACTGAGCCTTCAGGCACCAGTGATCACTGTGCCTCTCTGTAGCAAATCCAGGCAAGACAGACTCTGATGGAAGGCTTGCACTGTCCATCTTCAGGGCAAAAGGCTTTCAGTGGATATTTTTCAGCAACAGCAGGCAGACATTTCAAAACAAGGTAATAATGTATGAGTCACTTGGCACACAGCATATAGAAGTCCTTAGGTTGCAAAGAGTTGCAAAGATTAAGACATGGTCCATCCTGGCCCAGCCAGTGCAAGCTGGCTCTGGCTCTCTCCCTGATCCTCAGTCCCAGGTAACAGCTGTGTGTCTCTCCAAAGGGCAGCCCTTATTCCAGTCACTTGATACCTTTCTCCTTTCTTCTTCACCTGAGTTCATATGTTCTGCCTAACAAGGTTTCCTGCTATTAGATGTCAATTTTTCAGTCCTTGCGTGGGGTGGGGAGAGAGGTCTCATGGTCTTTCTGGAGCCTCTGTTTATTTCGGTCAGTTTCAACCAGTTCTTTCATGACCCATTCATTCCACCCCATACAGCTAGGAGACAAACATCTCATGTCTCCTACTCTGTTCCAAGTCCCTTTTGTATCCACTGGGTAACAATGCTAACTACAGAAGGAAACTGAAACACATGAAAATATTACAGAAAATGCCATTTATCACAACATAATATTCACAAACAGGAGTTTTCTTAACAAAAGTACAGCAGTTCAGCAATTCAGATACTGTCTGAAAGTAAAAGAGAAGGATTTGGGGTACTTTTTAATTTAGCAGATTCTTCAAATCAGAGTTACAGTCAGTGACTGTAGAAAGACCCTTCCAAAAGTGTTTGTTTTCTATTGATTTAAAAGAAAAAATCCCTTTTCATTTAGGAGCATTTTTTACAAAGCATGCCTCACCCAAATCTAGCAGTGTTGCCTCATGGCCTGAATGCTTCAGTTTGTACTTTTAATATAAATACATTTTTGATACAATCTATATAAACTTAAATATGAATGTTCTCTCATCTAGGGTCAGTTTTTAGTACCTACCCTGAATGGAAGAAATAAGAGTACAATTTCCCTTTAATTTATAAAATCACAGTTTTCTTTCCTAAAATTTTCCATTGTCTCTTTTCAGCACCAAAATCCCATAAAGTTTTTAAATGACTTTCTATACTTATAAATATAATTACATTTTCATGATCTTCATATTATAGCTACTTGCAACCTCTCCAGCAAATTAATATTCAGACATTTTTTTTCTCTCGCATTCCATGTTTTTTTCACTTCATAACTCCATTGATCTCAGGAATAAATGAGAAGAAGATCAGGACTATTATTATGACCAGTATATACTGATTACCAAGGGAAATGAGTGGAAATTTCAGGAGCATAATCCTAATATCTGAAATCATTTGAATTCCTTCAAATATAAAGTCACAATATTTAATCTTCTTTCTGAAATAAATTACACCGCAAGAAATAATTACTTTTATAGCAACATATTTTAAAAGTCAATATTTGTTTGAAAGTCAGCCAATGCTTGGCTCACATTTGCTTTGTTTGCATCTCCTATTACCAGCTCCAAACAAGAAAATAAACTGTAATTTAAAGCTGTTTCTTCCCTTGGCATTTCTCTGCTGAAATTGTCTAGCACTCTAAACATGTTGCACAGTTTAAAGTTTATGTAGAGGTAGAAAATTGTTGAGCTGCTAATATTATGCAATGGAAGATAACTTTAGAACAATAATCTTATTATTATTACCGCTTCTTTGAAGATGCAATTGTCAACCACAAATCTCTACAGCTCGATATGATTTTTTGGTAACTGTGTCAACATTTCAATTTCCTATCAATTGTGACTAACAGTAACTGATACAATATCTACTCATGTTTAAAGCTAAAGTATACATAATAATTCATCAGAAAAACAACTTAGGGCATTGTTCTCACCAAAAATATTTCAGCTATTTACCTTTCCCCCATTAAAATGTTCACTGAATCAACTCAATTAAATAAATTAGTCGAGCGAGGTGGAATGAAAAATAGGTGATATTGAAAGGATTAGGACTGTTGAGAGAGGAGATGAGTGATTGGGGACATGAAAGAACCATACAATATAATGAATTATTCAAACAAATATCTGTGAAAAATTCTGGTTTATCACTTATCATAATACAAGAACAAAAGAACATTCAGTGAAACTGAGGAGGAACCAATTTAAAATTGATAAAATAAAACACATTTTAGCCGTACATTATCGACTTGTGGAACTCACTGCCTCTAGACACTGAAGAGATCAACAGTTTCTTGAGAAACAATCAAAGATGGAAGGTGTGTCTAGATAATTCAAAATTACAATTAGTTTAGAAAGAATAAAATACCACTAAAAGCTACAAAAACCTAATCTTCCATAACATAAATCAATATCTATGCGTCAGGGGTTCACTTATAGGCCAGGTTTCCACATAATTGCCCATTATGGAGCTCCCTGAACCTTCCTCAGAAGTATCTCTGACTGGTCACATTCGGAGGAGAGAAGAACAACCACTTTCATCCACTATATATATTATTACTATTATTTCTTACTCAGAAATAATTACCACTCTCATTAATAATGTTGAAACTGTCCTCCTAAATTTAATGGAGCGAAAAAGTGTCTTATAAAGCAATACAGCTTAGTTTAATTTCTTCAGATGCATTAAGGAATTTTTTTTATTAAAAAAATATAGAACAAATTCATGAAACTCACCTGGCCAGACGCATTTGGTGTGAGAATCTGCCCCTTCCCGGCCTCTCCATTTTCCCAGGAGTGCGGAAAGTTGGGGCTGAAAACCATGAGGTCATTCTTGGCGGTGCCTTCCCCTACACACAAGTTCCGGCTCTGGCGCTGGGAATAGGACCAACTCCCCACTTCGCTCGAGCACACCACGGTGGCTTTCCTAGGCTCGCACATCACTTCCGGACCCGAGTGGCATCTCAGGCCGACGTACACGACAATCACCAGCACAAACAGCCCGGACACCGAGCAAATGCCGATCATTAAAGACACGTTCATGTCAACCAAGGGCCCTTCGATCCCGCCCCTTTGCCTCGAGTCCCATTTCACAGCCTGGGGACTCTCCCCCAGGGACAGGCTGACAGTGACTGTCACTGACAGCGCCGGTTCCCCATGG